ACATTCAGTGGAACTTCATTTACACGCTAAGAAATTGCACACTTCAGTTGAGTGACAGTATGTCTAAAAGCTATATGCGTGAACTTCATAGAAGCGTGGCAATTTGAATTTATAGTACTTACATTCAGGCACAGCAATATATGAGTTATGATTGAGTTTATTTGGAATGGAACAATTAGATACATTCATTCTTATTGGTGCAAATGTGTTTGCAGCCAATTTTCAAAGGAGACAAACCAAAATGTTTAACCCAATAGTCCCAAAGGTTTTTAAAAGGCTTTCTTTTTTTCCCCTTGAAGGCATTTCACTTCTCATACAAGAAGCATCTTCAGTTCTGGCTGAATGGAACAGTTTATATTCCTTAGCAGTCACCTGGTTTTTAGCTCTCTGAAGGTCAGTCATTAGCTGTTTGAAAATCATTGAGGCCACTTGGAGGGTTATCTGCACCCACGTTACTTGAATTAGAGGGCAAATGGGTATAGAACCTTTTTGGGACTGCTGAAAGAAATATATATTGTAGACAAGGAATAGGTGGTGTCATATTCCTCTCCCTCTATTGAGAGAGGGCTATTCAATTTTAATTTAGATGGCCTCTGACCTCTTTTAATGTCCCTACAACAACCATTTGACTTATCAACTGTTGATTATTTTTGTAAGCTATCTCGCCCAATCTTAAAATACACTTCTTAAGACATAAGAAGAAATACAGTTCAGTGTTGGTCACATTCTGGTAATGTCTTCAATGGGAACTGGAATAAAGACCTAAGCGATAGGTCAAGACAGCTTACTTGCCCTCATCCAGATATAGGTGTCCATGGGAGACAGGGAAAATATTCACAGTCATGTCCGCTTGCAAATGCAGCATGTTATGGTAAAGTTGTATGATGATGCACACATCACCCTTTGGCATCATCACGGTTTGCTATGGATGCCCCTGAATGCAAATTACGTAGTGAAATCTACCTACGTGAAACAATTAGCCTATGCTTGAACAGAATTTGAAAAGGCAGCAAATAAATTTTGTTCTGTGTATAAGCTGGGTGGAAGAAAAAATTCCAGTAGAAATCTGAGCAAAATAGGAATTTGTTAAACATTAATAAAAGCATTTATGCTTAGCCCGCTCTCTCTCCTCCTTCTCTCTTTCTCTGATCTTTTTAGATCTTTTTAAACTCTAACTCTTGATATGATAGCTTTAGTCTAGAAACACTATCAGCTGTATGTGATCTCTTAGATAAACATTGTGCAATCATTGTAACTTGCAATCTTCTCATCTCCCACCAGAAACAGAGTTCATATGCACAAACATAACAAAAATAAGACATATTTTAAAGGGTTTTTTTCCTTTTAAAATTGAACAACTTCACATAACACAATTTAAATAAAGCAACTTACCTTTGTCATCCATTGTAAAATTGTTTTCTGACTTGTAAATCAGCCTTGGCAATGGCTTCTTGATCATTTTAACTGCTTCACTTTGTTTAGTTCTTCTTGAACTATTTCCGCTGTTAAACATAACTTTCCTGAAAAAAATGGGAGAATTTGGGAGAATGATGCCAAACTATTGCTATTCTAAAAATCTGTGGCAGAGTTCAAAAACTTAGAGATGCTGCTCCAAGCAGATTTTTTTGTCAATTGGTTTTGGTTGTTTTCTGTTCCCCCAAATTTTGCCTGAGGTTTAGTAAATAGTTTTGCTTAGATATTTTATTAAATACTCTACTGTTCCTTCCTTCCTTCCTTCCTTCCTTCCTTCCTTCCTTCCTTCCT